CAATTTTGACTGATGCCCCGAAGGACCTAAGCCCCCCTTTGCAGCGCCCCACGGTCCCTCAGAGCCTGGCCGGCCCCAGGCATGCCAGAATCTTCGGCCTTGCTCATTGAGTTCCATCGTCTGGATCCGAACACGGGTCTAAGTTTCAACARTTCATGGGTGTACCCACTGAGCTGGCTCTTGGGGCCCAGCACCAGCCACAGTCCCGCGCCCTAAATGAAGCGGGAAATGTATAAATAATGAAAACAAAKAAAAATAAAGGTAGGTAAACTAGAGTATGGGGGGGGGGTTGCTGGCACCTCGCCAGCCCCGTGGGTCGGGCCCGGCGTCGCGCATGCCAACAAAACTGAGGGGGATAGCCCCGTCAGGCCCTCAACCCCTCGATTTCTTCTGTGCTGCTCGGCTGTTCCTGCGCCGACGCCTACTGGCCTCGATCCCCGAACCTTTGTGGCAATAACCCAACAACGTAACCAATAGGGCTAAGCCCAAGCCTGGCACAATGGAGCGCGAACTTCAATCTGAAGTGGTGCCGCGCCGTGGCTAGGCCTGGGAAAAAAAGAAAAGAACAGCCTAGGCCTTCCTTTCCCACCTGCAACCGGTGCGCCAACGCCCGGCGCTCGCGCCGGCCTATTTAGATCCCATTGTGGCCAACCCGCGCGCCAGCCCTGCTGTCGGTCGCGCATACCAACCAAAAACAAATCTTCGTCCCCTACACAAGCCGTAGCACGGTCCAGGTCGGTCGAGTAGACCGGCCACTCACTCAATCAGAAAAATCACACGCGCGCCTTAAACTGCGCGCCCGCATACCCCCTAACTTAGTCGGGACGGGTCCCGGACGCGGTCGTGCCTCGCACGACTTTTTTCAACCAAACCCTTTTTTTTTTCCTGTCACTTGCAAAAAACAGGGCGGATACCCTTGTAAGGGTATTCGCGCCGACAGCGCTCCCCACCAATAGATGGAGCAGCCCAACTGGCAAAGCCTCGATTCTGGTGGTTCTCTTACCACCATTAGGACGGAAGCCTTGCACAACGGGTYTTTTTTTCAAAAAAAAAAAAAAAAAAAAAAAAAAAGTACACACACATAGAGAGAGAGAGGTGGTCATCGTCGAGCGAATATGACCTCTCTAATTCTCTCTCTCTCTGTATAAACAAAGGTGGGGGTGGTGGGGGTGGTGCTTCCTATGTGATGATATTCCCCTCTCCCCCCTTCCATTTTTTTCTATATATATATATCATTTTCTCTCTCGATGAGAGAGAGAGAGAGAGAGAGAGAGAGAGAGAGAGAGAGAGAGAGAGATTCAGCGCAAAAAGCTGCAGCGTACGACATATACTTTCTGCCATCAGGTACTTTGATATACCTATAATTTGGCAGGTACATTTGGTATTTTGAAAAAAAACATCACAGCTCAAACCGCTGAAGCAAAATTGAGAGTTTTTTTTTAATTTAATTTTTAATTTTAAATTTTTAAATTTTAAACCCAGGGCAGCGTCACTATGGGGGGTGATCCAACTTGCAAGTCTTTTTTTTTTTTTTTTTTTTTTTGGGGGGGGGGGGGGGGGGGGGGGGGGGGCTCACCCCCCCACTTTTTTTTTTTTTTTTTTTTCCAAAGTAACTGCAAAGAGGTCGGGGACCTCACAATTCAACCCGGAGTTATCCCGACAGCATCAACCGGTTTAGCTTATGAAATGTCCTTCAATACTCAACACCCTACTACCTGCAAGATCCGTTCAGGATGCCCACTTCTGTGTTCCGAAAAAGGGGGGTACTCCACATTGCACTCATCACAATTCCAACTGCATTTACCTCTCCTAATTCCTAGCAGCATAATAGCCAATATTTACCATAAGGCTTACCTTTGTCGCCTATCCACCGTATACTTATTCTTTGGACCCCCAAACCAAGGGACCCGACACAGTTAATCAGATTTGAACTGGCAACCAACTCGATATTTAAACAAACATAACTTCTATCAATGCAGCTACAAAAAGACACTATATCAGTTACAGTTGCAACTTTGAACTTCCCTTAATACTCTGACGGGACCACAGACTCCTTAGATCTTTTGCGAGCTGAGTCATGGCTAATGGTCCCTGCATGATAGTAGTCATTTGGCAATAACCAGTTTTTGTTCTGGTGAGATATCTGCTAGTTTTTTCCCGTTAGCACAGGTCTTCATAAACCACAACTTATCAGCTCTATTTGTCCAGTCTCCTCTTATAGCAGTTTTGATATGAGTCAGTACTTGATGCTTCTATTGCTCCCTTGGAGCTGGTTCCCTTCGAAAGACTTGGTTGTTGCGGGCCGACCAGATCATATTGCTCCCCTGCAGACAAGTGCCACATATCCCCACACCTCTACAAGGTGGGTATCAGGTGGGTGTAGTCCCAACAATATCCAGTTATCCGTCCAGGGAAAAACGTCTCCAACAATCTTGGACCAGTGGAATCTACACCAGGCCCAAATCTGCCTGGCCAGAGGACATTCCAGCCACAGATAAACATTTGTCTTCCAACTCCAGTTGCACCAGTTGCAGACTTCTGCGATATTCATCTTTCTGGACTTCAGTCAGGATGCAGTTGGGGTAAGGAGCATTGATTGCGTCGACATTATGCTGGTTTGCTTTTGTGAGATTCCTCAGTGCCGCCCAGAACTTGAACAGGTCCAGGTTACCTAGATCCTCCATGGGGAACCTACTCAGCTTCTCCGAGACTCTCACAATTGGTTGTTTCTTCACCCGAGCTTGTAGATACAACACGCCTATCTTCAGCTTATACCTATTGATCGACATTGTTGAGCCAGTCTTGTCTTTCCATCCATATAACATCGGCTCCACCAACAGGTCCTTCAACTCCAGATGCAATAGTTGGGCTTTAGCACCTCCTCGTGGTTGAGCCTGCTCCTGCAACACTCTCACCTCTTTTAGGTCCTCAAGAGTCGAGTCCATTTTTTCCTCCCCCCTTACCAAGGTAGAGTATGTTCCTTTATCCTCCACCACCCTCCAAGTCTGAACTTTCGTGCTCTCCCGGACCCTAAACTTGCCACACTTCTCTGCCATCGCCTGACGCTCTCAACCAGGTGTTTGGAGCATTGGACACACTGCTCCTTAGGATGCTAATCCAGTACCTTGGGACCGCCTTCTTCAATTTATCAAAATTCTTTGTTAAATTGTGCACTCTTGGTAGTTTCTGTCGGAGGGCTGGATCCATCTTCCAGTCCGCCTTCTCTATGTCCAGAGGTCTAGGAGTTGGATCACCCCTTTTTCCACCCAGGCCCTACCAAAGAAGCCTGTTGAGCCATCTGCCATAAAGGTGGAACCATCCGGTTGTTTGATATATGGGTTCTCAAACAAAATTTGTCTGAGGACCTCCTCTTTTGTGTTTGGCTGCAGCAATACATCCAATTTAAGTTTGTTCCATGCATATAGGATGCTTTTCCACAGTCTCGATTTAGGTCTTCTTTGTGTGTAGGAAGGAATTAGCTTACAAATCCAAACCATAGCAGGGGTAGGAAGGCATCATTCCTTCGCCAAGATATACTGATCCAACTTGAGAGTCCAACTTGAGCCAACACAGATTTTCAGAGGCTTGGGGTTACTACACCAAAATGGTTGACAGCGCCAGACAAAAGACAAGAAAAGTGCCGGCAAAGTTGAGCGTGCATGGGGAATCTTCCTCAACAAACTTGTCTGGCGTGTGTGGTCATAGGTGACCACTGGAATGTGCTCGTGTTTAGGGCCTTTATCTCTGTTGTGTGTGGTCATAGGTGACCACTGGAACTGGGGCCTTGTCCAAATGGCTCAGATCTATTAGTGGGGAGCAAAACTTGCTCGGAACGGGATCAAGCGTCCGATAATAGCAACCGAGTCATTTTCCTTTGAATAGAGGGTTTTTTTTTTTTTTTTTTTTGATAACAACTTTTGCATCGTCCGTTGGGGCCATGTCCCACTAGCCTGTAGGCTCACAAAGGCTACTGTAGACACAAGGACTAGGGAATTGTCTTGTAGAGAAAATGAGACACTGCCGACACTTCGGTAAGTAGAATAGTGTGCAACAATATCCGAATACATCAAAAAATTATTTTTTTCGGGGAAATAAAGGGTTTTGTTTGGCTCCCAGGAGAAGGAAGATACATATACCAGGACACTCGGTAAATAAGTCGCAGGAGACAGGCAGTAGGTGAACATTGACAGACGTTGGAGTATCAGAGTGGAAGAGCGCTTAGCAGTCCGCTGTAGGCCCGCGTAGAGGGCTCAGTTGTTAATGTTTGAACAGTAAGCAAGAGTAGGTTAATGTTAACGTCCTTTTCAGAAGAGCAGAGGGCTCGATTAATCAGGTTCATGGCTAGTTTTGAAGAAGAAGTTTGTAACTCAGCAGAAGCAGAACCAGATTATGTTGAACCGAAGCTGGAATCGGTGCCAAGTTACTTCCGGGTTGTTTGTAGAGGATTCTCGGCCTCAAAGTATTCCCTGCTTTGAATAAAGGATCCCATACTTTTTTCCAAAAAAAAAAAAAAAAGTCTCACTAGCAGCGCTGAGCTACCTCAATGCCTGAATCTGAACATGTTTGTGGAGACATGCAGTTCAGGAAACTCTACACAATTTCTGCACATCTTCGCAACAACGTCCAGATTGAGGCGTTGAGGTAGCTCAACGCTGCTAGTAGGACTTGGCCCTGACAAGCAACAAGTGATTAGAATAACGACCTTCCTTTCCGATCCCATTTCCAGCCATTGTGGGTTCCAAAACATGAGCACGGATGGGGCTGCTAAAAGGTCAACCAATTTAATTACCTGTCAAATCTGGACAGGACAGCCTTTCAGGCCTTTTTTTATTGTCATTATAGTATGACGAGGAACCCCGTAGCCGCCACATCTGTGCTCAAGCCTCCAACGAGGGAACGTGTGGGAGTTGCACCCATCAGCAGGTGCAGTACCTGCTACATCAGATGGGCGATACCGGCCAGGGGTCAGTCGGTAGCATCAAGACCGAGCTTCTTCGATGGGCCAGTCACTGTGCCTCCCCTCTGGTGGTGGTCCCCTCCCCCTATGAACATCAACAGTCTATGCTCAATGCCACTCGGGGGAACAGCGACATATCTCTAGGTGGCGGGCGCCAAACTTGCCCAGGAAGGTGCATGAGGTCAATGGGGATTGAACCCGAGACCTCCTGAATGTCACTTGCGTGCCTTACCAACTGAGCTAGGCCGCTGGATGTCCTGTCCAGATTTGACAGGTAATTGAATTGCCTAAGAAAAAAAACAAAAACAAAAAACATCCCAGTCTTATCTGGTTCTGGGGGCCAGGTCCCAGTAGCAAAGAGGATTGTATTAAACGTGTGAATCTGGAAGTGTTTGCGGAGAGTTGCACACAACTGCTATTGATTTGCTTTTCTGCATCTTTGTACGAGAACACGTCCAGATTCAGACGCTGAATTCAATCTTATTTTCTAGTGGGACCTCGCCCCGGGTATGCCCATAATCTGCACAGAACCGGCAGTTGGGTAATAACCAACCGCGGACCCGCCACGCAATCATTTGCACAAAGCATAGGCCTCCGCTTTGCTTCACAACCTTCTCCATGCACCTGGACTTTACTTTCGACAGTATGCATTCAGACTGATCGAACATCTTGAACGTATTGGGATGATTACCTCATCCAGATGCATTTAGAACGTTGTCCAGCGGACCGAGGCCCCATTCTCAGGTATTCCTGAAAAATTGGGGCTTCAAAAAAAAAAAAAAAAAAAAAAAGATGGGGGCTATGCACATATAGACGCATCGTGCCATGTTAGGTAAAACAATTTATTTTATTTTATTTTCTAAGTAAAAATCAAACTTGAATTATCAGACAAACCAAAAGAGGCCAGGACGTCACAATTCAACCCGGGAGTATCTGATAGCATCAGCTAGCTTAGCTTACACCCCGGCTGAACCGTGGGGCGAACCACATAAACTTTTCTCATCAATTAGATGAATATCTTTTTCGCTTAACCAATTCCACCCCATATTCACTTAACAAACAACTCTTCCTGCCTGAACTTGAATCCTCTACCTACGCCCGCCTAACACGGCAACCAGGCCTAAGCGACCCAGTGGAACTTTAAGTTCCTTATTACGTATCACTCTCTTAACGGACCACTACGTCCCTAACAACTGAGTTCCCTGGTTATTCCTATGGCACTCTCTAGCCTCCTCCCTACTGACCGAGATGCCCTGGTCCTCTCTAGTCTAATCACTCCCTTCCTCGGCGAGATACCCTCTCTCCCACCGGCTTACCTATKCAACCACCTGGACACCACCAAGCCCCTTGTAGCGTGGGCCCCTGCCAACGGGTTCCCTATAGCCCAGGTTCTCAAAAACCACCACAAATATTTCCTCGGCCCTCTTCCACTGTTCGCCTTCCTCCTCCAGTCTGCCCAAATAACTCTTGTCAGTCCTCTCTTGATTGAGGCTTTAACTTCCAAGTCTGAGAAAGGCCGGGATTCGAATCTGGAGTGGTTTCTATCAGCCCAGATGACCGCGCAAATTACCGCCCTTACCACTTGGGCTATATATGCCCTGCCTTCCTTGCCTGAGTGATTCTCCCCCACAAAACCCAATAAGACTCATTTCTCATTCCAACTTATTCCTCTTCCTCCCATTTAATTCCAATGATCTTCCCACCACCTCCAGACCCTTCTTGATGCCGAATAGTCCCAACAGAGGTGTTTCATGGACTCGAATGGTCATGTGCAGCGAGAGCATCCCAAGTGCACTTCCATTCCCCTGCTACTTAGCCATACCGCCAAGGGAGTAACTAACAGTGAAAGCATCCACAACAGGCTTGCCTGCTTCAAGTCCGGGATGAGGAGGAGGGTACACCATAACTTCAAAAAGTCCCTTTCTTTACCTTGCAGATCCTCCAGCAGCACTGCACTGCATCTGGAAATCTCAGTACTTGCCGGGTTTCTGAGACCTCCTCTCGTCCTACTGTATGATTCTCTGACCGAGAAATTCGTCATATTTGTGCCTCGTGTGGCGGAATCCCCCCCTCCACTCGCCCGCCACTGCCACGCTCCTGGATCAAACTTCAAGTGTCTCAATGGAACCTTCGCTACCCATGTGGTAGTCCTTAGGCTCCCCCTTCTGTCAAAAGTTCGTGCAACTCGCACCTGAGGGGGATTCTGCCACTGGCTTACGACTTTCTCCCCCTGCAGAGTCAGTTATGTTGAGCCCTTTGCAGTCCTCCAACACTGCACCTCCCGAAACCCACTCTGAGTGATATTCATAACCTTCCAAATCTCCCCCTCCCCTTCATACATTCCTTCGACCGGGTCTACCCTTTCCGGGCCCAGAATTGGACCCCACTTTCGAAGAACACTCCTCCGGAGTGCACCAAAATGATCTTCCAAGTTTCATAGTCCGTACAGTCTTGGGAGAAGATCGTTGAGTGTATCCAAGATCTCGTCAAAGGGGACCACAAATCTTGGACTCTTGAGACACCCCTTCTGATCCAGGTTCTCCCAAAGGTGCCTACAGCCCCCCTGGATGCAAATGGTTGCCCATCATCATTCAAAATGAACGTGTTTTCAAACAGGTTTTGTTGCAGCACTTCGTCCTTCGTGGTTGGGGGGGTCTGTACATCAGGACGCTGCTTGAGTCACGCCTTCCTCACAAAGTTTCAAAATTCCGATGAGAGTTTCTTTCGCAGAAAGGAATTCACGAAGAAGCACAACCACACATCCTCCGGTCTGCTTAGCTCCCAGTCCCTCATAATAATTTTTTCAGCTAGAAGGATCCAATCCTCCTTCTCATCTGTCAGAGCCACCTTCACTAACCAGTGCCTCAGCTGTGCTTGGTTCCTCTGCGATGGGTCGATTAGACCCAGGCCCCCCTGTTCTTTTGGGTAGCAAACCAGGTCCCAAGCCACTTTTGCGATGAAGCCCTCCTTTGCCATCGCCCTTGGCTTCCAAAGGAACCGCGTGGCCAACCTCTTGATGGTTGTGACTGTTGCTGGTTCCAACTCCCTTACTGTACTCACAAACCAAAGGAGAGCAAACAATGCCTCATTAATCACCAATGCCCGCCCGTAAAGTGACAGGTGTCACGCCGACCCTCAGACCTTCAGCCTTGCGAAAATCTTTTGCTATAATATGTGACCTTGTACTGAACCCATCAGATGGGTGCTCACCATCACCCCTAAGAAGCGCTCCCCCTTCTCCGACACTACTCTCCGCATCCCCCACTCCACCTGCAGTTCCAAACCTTCTGGTAGCAGGTAAGTGGACTTACCCCAGTTCACTTGGGCTGCAGACAACAATGAGTACTCTGACAGAACTGATTTCACCGACCCCAAAGACTCTGCTGTATTAACTGCGATAAGGAACAAATCATCTGCTAGGGTCTTGGCCCTGCATTATCTGTCCTCAGCCATTGATAACCCTCTTATCCAGGGGTGCTTTCGGATTCTGTTGAGTGACACTTCCAATTGCAGCACAAACAACAATGGGGCCAGAGGACAACCTTGGCGGAGCGACCATGAGAGCTAAAAGGGGCTGGATAGATATCCATTCACCTGCACTGCCGATGTTGTCAGCGTGTACATGGCTATAACCCATTTGCAGAAAGCCGGTCCGAATCCCATCCTCCTTAGCGTGGTTAACACGAAGGACCAACCTACCTTATCATAGGCCTTCTCCATATCAAGGAGTAAGACCGCCAAATCCACATGTTCCGCCTGGATAATTTCAATGCTCTCAATCGCTGTCAAGATATTGATGGAAATTGACCGCCCCTGAACAAAAGCCCCCTGGTCCTTTTCCACCAGCTTCGGGAGTATCTTCCCAAACTTCACCGCCAGAGTCTTGGCTAACAGCTTGTAACTCACGTTCAGAATCGAGATTGGTCTGTAGTTTCTAATATTCGACTTGTCACCCTTCTTGAACAAGACTGAGATCACTCCATGTGTCACCCAACCTCCCAACTTGCCCTCTAATAGCACCTCATTATACACTTTCACTAGAGTTGGCCCCAAAGCCTCCCAGCATGCCCAAAAAAACTCTAATGTCAAACCGTCCCTCCCTGGGCACTTCCCTGTCGCCATTACCTTCAAAGTCTGTTTCAGTTCCTCTTTCGTGATAGGCCGGTCCAGCGATAACTGCTTTGCTGTCGACAGCGCCATCGTCATTTCTTCCCATATGTCCGACACTTGTGATAAGTCTGTGGAGGTAGAACCCAATGTGCGCCTGGAGGTAAGGATATCTGCAAAATAAAGTCGGACATAATTCAGCATGTCCTTTTGTAATGAAGGCTGTGGGGCCGACTGATCGAAGGGGTGGTCTAATTGAACCACTTGATGGAAAGCTGAGCTTGGAAGCAGTTTCCGGAACGTTTCTGTTGTCATTCTATCATGTACAATTATCCCTTTTACTTTCAAGGTCTCCTCCCATCTCAGATGCTTTTCCATCTGCAGCTTTTTCCGCTCCGCCATCCGCTTCTCCCTCTCCGCCGCCCATACCATTTCAGAAATCGGGTGCACCTCTATCCTTCTCTCCGCCTCTTCCACCTGTTTCCGAAGTTTCTGTTCCTCTCGGTTTCTCTCCCTTGCCAGGATCCGATAACTGACATCCATATGTGAGGACCATCTCTGTCCTGTGAATTGTGAAGAAGAGCGCCACTCGTCTTTCAAGGCATATGTGATGAAGGTAGAACGCAAGTTCCCTGCCTATGGTAACTTATCATTTAGGTTGAGAAGTACCAAAGCAGATACCTCCTGCGTTAATGCGATGGACTCAAGTTTGTGACTATTCACCTCCCTTATTGCATCCAGGTTGAACCTACTGACGCCTGCCTGGGAGAGCGCTTCCGCTGTTGGCGGATCGATTCTGGCATCGATCAAAGGGAAGTAGAACTTCACAAGCTTGGACTGCAGTGGCACACTGCAACTGGCCACTACCGATTTAGGAATAATCCTAATCGGGAAGGCATCCCCAAATAAGAATTTGGTCTGCGTAATAATCTCCCCCGAAAGTGGCATTTTGTCTGTTGTAACTGAGAGGGGATAAGGCCTCCCGTCGGCTTGAACCATACCCAAGAAGGAGGGCGTGGTGCCTGATATTGTACACACTACTAGCGGAACTAGCCTTCTTTCTGTAGGCAGTTTCCCTTGAGCCCTCAGTCTATAAGCTTTCTTACTTGAAGTATCTGATTCAGTTGTTCCCCTTCCTCAAGCCCCTCCTGAGCTGTCTGTAGAGGATTCCGAACCCTCCGCCCGCAAATACCCCAGACCCTGCAGTGCTAAGTCATCCTCGAGCAGCCCACTCCCCATCTCCACTCGACTGTGACGAGGACAATGGGGCGGCCGATTCCGAGTCGAGACCTCCCTCTGCACCTCTCTCCGATCTCCTTAAATGATTGTGATGTTTGTGCCTTGTACTCCCCGACGCCTCCCCTCTTCTCCCCTGCTGGTGACTTAACGAGTCCGACCTACCCGTTGGGAGCCTTCTTAACTGCGTCAGATTTGCTTCCCCTTCGTGTCCCCAACTGTTGTCATACCCCCTCTGCAATCTCACTGAAATTTGACAAAAAATTGGGCAAGCGGGGTCCTGAGTATAGGACTGGACCGTCTGTGTGAATTGTGGAGGAGGCGAGGTTGTATGTGCGTGCAAGTCCTGTGCAGGCATAGCTACCATATTCACACCTGGTGGGAGGCCTCCTGGCCACATTGGTAGGTCGACCCATGGTGTCATCAATGAACTACCCGGGGGTGGGGAATAGAGTGGTGGTTGGTGATTTGAGGAGAGATAAGAGGGACCTGCAGTAAATCCCACTTGCCCCTGCCCATGACGACAAAGGTCCCCTGTCTGTCTCACCCAACCAAAAATGGGTTTGACATCATGGTTCCCTACAGGCGGGGTCTGGCCTCACCCCTGTAGCTGGGCCCGGGAGAACTGTCGCACTTTCCCTGGAGTTGGCACTGAAACTTGATGAGCTGTAGCGGCTTGTTCATTCAGCTGTGTGCTGGTTGCCTGCTGGTTTTGTTGGGTCATTCTCCCTGATTCCTCTCATGTCGATTGAGACGCTTGCTGGGGCTTTCCACCTTCCCTTTGCTGTCGGGGTTGGGGCTGCTGCTGTTGGGGGGGTAACCTGGAGTTAGCCCATTGCCTCCTCTGTCCACCTGCCTCCTGTCTTGGCCAATTGTCTTCTGTGTGGAAATACCACTGGCATTTACGACACCAGTCGCAAAAAGGGGTAGCTATTTCGATTGTCCACAACTCCCCCTTTGGAGACTCTATCGCCAGTGTGTCCTCCACCCGGAATCTGGCTTGCGGGTCCATGTCTAACTTTATATTCATTAACTTGGGTCTTGATCGATCTGCTTCTGGAGGGTGCATTGCTTTAACCCCTCCAAACAACCCTTCCTCCGCCGAAGGTAAATAGCACATCGCATCTGATGGCACCCTCAGCGCAACAATCCAGAAATCCGTTTTCGCCTCCTGAAGTCTTAACTCCTTCAGTTCCACTTTAGTCATCCATGGCTTCACTATTGCTGGGTATTCCACGCCCCTGAGGTTCAACTTTATCGACTGCCTCTGCACCAACCACGTTGCCACCTCCACCGCTTTTGCCACGTAGGAAACCACATTCGGACTTTCAAATTTTATTCGCCCTGTCCTGATTTCGGGGTTGAAGAGTATCCTTGCCATCCACCCATCGTCATACGCCCTGATGAGATCCTCCTTTATGCTCCTCCCAAGATCTCGAGCCTCGTTCTGAAATATAAAATTACTGTACGTTCTTTCAACATCTTTCCTTGATGGCATCGAAGGACTCATTGACCTTGAATCTTTCCCCACTCTCATCTATCACCACCTCCCCCAGGTTCTCTGCTAGCTGCATGACTCCCTCGTCATAGCACTGACCAATAGAGTGACGTGCTCTATCTTCCATCGCCCAAAAATTAGTTGGGGGAGCTGGCGGAGGGGGAGTCCTCCTTTCCTCCCTTCCTGCAAGTGTTTCATCCACCTCCATCTTCCGTTAAGTGACCTTTCTATTTTAATGGTCAAGTTTAGAAATCTTGCTGTTCCCTGAATTAAAGCTCAAACCAATAATCCGCAGTGCACCCTTAACCCTGCTTTCCTGTATCCTCTGCTGCCTTCTCCTTACTGCAATTTCAAGGGAAGGGCCCGGAGGAGGTCAAAGTTCTCCACTACTCAGTCCACAGCCTTGCTTCGTCACCATGCCAACCCCCTCCCTATACGAACGGAGGCAACAACTCTCTTACGATTCCAGAAAGACGGGCGGCAAGGGGTACTTCGAAAGAGGAGGGATCTAGCATGGAGAGAGTCGAGGTTTGTCTCCAGCCCTACGAATAGAATACTGCATTCAATTCAGAAATTGAGGTCTCCTTGTGACCCCACCGTAAATAGCGTTCAGGCTGACGACACCTTGCTTTCTTGCCTCTATTCCCAACTCCTATACCCAAGCATCTTCGTCATTTCCCCGGGTTAATTGCGTAGGGGAACTGCTCTCTCTTACATTCCCATCTTGCTTTCTGCCGATCCCTGCTACTAATAGTAGTACTACCACCTTCCTCCCTTCCTTCCATCCGCCTCTCCTACCACACTTGGGCAGGCATACCTACTTCCTCTTCCATTCTCCCTATTGTCGTATGAACAATCCTCCCTTCTGTTCTCTTTCTCCACCCCTTTCCTCCTGCCTCCTTCGACTACCTGGCCCTCCCTCACGCTTCGTGGGGTAGCCTAAGCGGTGACATCAACATAATCAGGTTACGAGAGGTCAACTCCCTACCTCGTCAGCTCCCAGGGTTCGTCCACCACTCGTCCGCAGAAACACGATGAGTTAGCTCGTCCTTCAGCAATAAAACTCCTACAACACCTTAGGTGAACCGGATTCTCTTACCTTATGCTGTCTTGAAAGGAGACCACCAACTTCCGTCGGAGTCCACGACGTGGAACTATCGGCTCCTCCGTGCCCCATCAGAGATGGCGGGGTTGGCGGCAAAACAGGGTTCGGGCCCGACTAAGGGTCTGATCCCACCACTACACTACGACTGTAGTCGTGAAAAAGCACTACAAAGATGTCAGCGGCCGTGGCGGGACGAAAAAGAGAAACTGGATCCCACGAGGGCGACTTCGGCGGTTATTTGTGGGCTGTTGCAGAGGGCGGACGTTTTCGCAACCGAAATGCCACACAACAGTGTGGTCCACAAACATTCCTGATGCTGCAAACGGACAAAAGAGAAAAAAAATAAATAAATAAAATTGCTCCCTCTTTTTCGCTGCAGAGATGCCCTCACGGTCTACAGAAAAACTGTAGTAACTACGCTTGCACCCTTCGCGGACGTGCTGCCACGACACACCCAAACGAAAGTATGGCAAAATATTTGGGCGGCCGCGACGACGTCGGAAAGTGGTGGGATCCGAAAACTACACTGTAACTGGGCTGTAGTGGTGGGATCAGACCCTAAAGCGTCCTCCCTTACCAGCGCCGGGGCAAGGTCCCACTTGCGCAAATTAGGAGATTTCGGCCGTTGATCTCTGCTATCTACGGTCAGTATCTCTTAATTCGTGCTAGTGGGACCTAGCCCCCGGTTCGGAGCGGCCTCAACTAGAGCGCTAAAATTAGCGCTACCGCCCAGCGCCCTCCAAGGTTTCTTTTTTCCTTCGCGTTTCAGAACGATTTTTTGG